GAGAGAGAGAGAGAGAGAGAGAGAGAGAGAGAGAGAGAGAGAGAGAGAGAGAGAGAGAGAGAGAGAGAGAGAGAGAGCTTGGAGCGTTGCTCTTCCCTGCAGGTTAAGTCGTCCATTCCATCCGGCATAATTTTGGTGCAATCGGAAGAGAGAGTATCACTTACCACTTCAGTTTTCCATTTGTTCCACTCTCACATCTCTTCTTATGTGGTTCTCTCCCCCGATGTCTGGTTGCTGGCAGGTGTGATATCTTTTATGTGTAATATCTTGATGGGCTGCAGTGTTGGATCCTGAGGTGTTGTGCAGGAGATTGATTGATTCCAAGTCTTGCGGTGTGCCGCTTTCTTGTCTACCCAAACTGGTGGTTCTGGGGTTTAGCGCCATCCCTGAACTAAGACAGCCATGAGGCAGCAACGGCAGGGAATTGTGGGACCACAGTTAAACCTGGACCTTCAGAGGTTCTTGGTCTCCGTGCCAATCTGACAGTCCTGGCATGGCAGAATTAGAGAAAGAAATGACTATATGACAGTCAACCCTTCCTCGTTATTGTCAAGGTGCGGAAAGAAGCTTGGGTGTTCCCTGGTCTCTGGGTTACCACCCGCCAGCTTGCTGTATTTGTTTTCTTTTTTTTTTGTTGTTTTGCAATTCTTCTTGTTTTTTATTCTTGCTTTTCTGATTTCGGACAGTTGGCGCCATCTGCATTCGGATGCCCGTTTTCAAATTCCTTCTTTTGGGAGTTTCGGATTGTGAACGCTTGGCGCCATTCAACATTCTGGCGCCCACTCTCAGACTTTCAATTCTCAGCTCTGGCCCTGAGGCATTTTCGCTTTCGTCCTCAGGACCGTACTTGAGTCCAGTACTTACGGACGGACTCAAGCCCAGTACGGGCACAAAGTTTTCAGCCTCAGTGCTTGTGTGCAGTGCGACTTTGCTCCGACATCGTGTTCGGAAATTCAAGACTACGACTTTGCCACTTTGTGTCTGCGTCCGTCGAGTCGTGTCGAGTTGAGTGAGCGTGTGTGTGTGCTCTCACTCTCCCTCTCTCCGCCGGCCTCGCTGCTCTACCCTTGCCTCGTCACACTGGTATCATAGCGGCGTCGATCGCAGTCCTGCCCGCCCTGATCGACGCGGAGCAGCTTCAACGACGCCACGCCATCATCGTCTTCATCATCGACATTGCCACGTTATTCTCGTCGCCGCCATCTCCAACATTGAGATTGCCACGTTATTGTCATCGTCGTTCCTGCCACGTCATCAACGATCCTGAATCGCCGACGACACGGCCCAGGTACGTTATTATTCTTTTCTTTCTTCTTTTCTCTATTCTCTCTTTTCTCTTATTCTTCGTCGTTTCTTCTCTCGTTTCTCCTCCTTTTTCCTTCCTCCTCGTTTCTCCCCCAGCGTCGTTCTCATCGTCTTTCCTCCGTCCTTCGCTGAAATCGCAAATCACTTCGATTTCGATTGCGACATCGAATCGATTTCGATTCGAAATTGAAATCGAATCGGTATTCATTTCTCTCCTCCCCCCCCCCC